TCTTTCTCTCTTTGTATCCATCCCTCCTCCTTTCCTTCCCTTTTTTTTCTACTCCTCTTTCTATTTCTCCCCAACTTCTCACATTTTCCTATTTTTCCATCTGTCTGTCTGTCTGTCTGTCTGTCTGTCTGTCTGTCTGTCTCTCTCTCTCTCTCTCTCTCTCTCTCTCTTTCACCCTGAGTTATCTACACAATGTCAACGAGGGCATAAAAAATCTACAATTACACATTTTTTATTTCTCCCCACAAAATAATAAAAATATCAATAGTAAGTTCAACATTATTTACCTAGTCCTCGAGAAGCAACATCTGTAGCTACAAGAATCTCTGTTGCTCCACTCCGGAAACCTGTACAAGGTGAAGAGACAAAAAATTCTTCAACTATGTTCATCTCAGAAATTGTACTGGGACATATGAGCAGAAAAAAGTCTATAGGCCCTCTGTACCTGTACAAGCTGTCTTTATGCCCAATTTGTAATGCATTATTATAACAGAAAAGGACCAAAAAAATCTGGAAGTCTCATGTCAGTTCACAGTAACATGAACATATTCCTGTTAGACATTAACTCATTCGCTACGCCGAGCAGTGGGGGGCGGCACGGCTAAAGTGCCGTCAGTACGCTCAGCCGCCTCCGGCGGCTCGAGAACCGATCTTCAATTTTATCTTAGATTCTACTCCAATCCACATATCCATGTTAAAATAAAGGTCATAATATAATGTTGACTTCCGGGTAAGCATTTCCACTGAAAATCGGAAATTTAGATTCAGTTTTGAAACGCGATTACGTAGTTTATTCGACTTTGTTTTATCGCGATGCCAAAATTATAGCGCGGACACCAGTCTTAGTAATTTTACACAACAAAATCTATCATTATTTTGCCCACTAAAGAAATGTAGGACTCTTTTTTATAATATTGATACGATTGGACTCGTATTGCCAATGCACTGTTATTGAGAAATCAATAATTTTGAGTGCCATATCTAGGTCCATATCTAAATTGTCAAAATATTTTTTTCTCCCCAAAATCACTACTTTTTGATGAAATTACACAAAAAGTGCCACTCAAGACATGTATAGGTTTATTCCAAATGCAATTCTGAATAATTCCATATAAGATACGAGTGGGTTTTTTTCTGTTTGTGATCGTTTTTCAAGATTTTAAAAAAAAAATATTTTTTTTCAATATCGGATGTTATGTTCAAAATGTACAAATATTATGGAATGTAGGTAAATAACTGCAAACTTTTCAATATTTTCCAGTTCTATATTCATTTATGGTTATTTTGAGGTATCATTTGACTAGGTGCAAACATATTTTTTGAGTTTCACCAAAGATTATTAATTTTTTATTTTCAAATTGTATCCGCATCCAATCAAAATTGTGTTGCATAATCATCTCTTACAGGAACCAAAGTTGAAAAATACATAAATAAACATTATAGATGTATTCTACAAATCATACTGAAAATAGTAGTATATAATACGTTGATATTTATTTGAATTTGTTGCCCCAAAGACCTTTTAACTGCCCACTAGTCATCATCTCATTCGCCCTCCTGAAAAAAAATTCGTCCACAAGCCGAAAATAACATGTAGCGAATGAGTTAAGTATTAGACTAAAAAAAAAAAAAAAAAACACCGCAAAACCCCACCAAAAAAAAAAACAGTCTGGGATACATTGTAACCAAAGCAACAGTAGTTAACTCCCATGTTCAATTATGAGAGGAGAGGGGGGAGAGGGGGGAGAGAGAGAGAGAGAGAGAGAGAGAGAGAGAGAGAGAGAGAGAGAGAGAGAGAGAGAGAGAGAGAGAGAGAGAGAAAAGGGGGGGGGGGAGAATGGGAGAGAGAGGAGGGGAGGGAGAGAGAGAGATACTTGACAATTGTCATAGAGGCTCTGAGTTTAGTATCTCCCAGCAATAAACATTCTGGGTTTGCCACAATAAGAGGCACCAAAAGAAGTGTTGGCCGGGCCAAATTTGGGCAGAAAGATGGACATAGAACTTACTGTGTAGAGTCTTGTCTCGCACCATCTGTGACTTATCTCCATGTAATGCAAGGGCTCGGAATCTGAAAATAAACACTTTGTATAAGCCCTGATAAATAGTGAACATAAGGCTGGCATTGGTGCAGAAACAGCTTACGCTTTACTATAGAATGATTGAAAACAACATCGATGAGATCTGTTAACCAACCTTCATTTTAAACCTTCAGGTACAACAGGCAAAAGACCATTTCTTATCAAATCATCCTTCAAAAACATACCCCATAACCACACAAGCATGAATAATATATTTCTTAACCATTCAAGAGTCAAAGGTAAAATTTTGTGTTTTCAAGAAATTTCAGTTGGTTTTTTTTATGGATCATAAAATCTCTAGAAACATTTTGAAGTCATCCTCAAATGTTCTATATCCATCCAGACATTTTCTCAATGCTTGGCAGTTTACAAATACCAAGACCACGCACACTACCAAAAGTTTTTCTGCTGACCTTGACTACTGTGGCCATTTCTTCTTTGCGAGGGAAGATAGTATGCACTTTTAAGAGCTTTGAAAATAAAAATGGTCCATTTCTTAGGGGAACCTATGTCCCAAAAAAGTTGGCTGATCCATCTTTCTTTGAAGAAAATGTACAAGTATAGGACGTCTTGACTAAAGGGTGTCCTAAAAACTTTTTTCAGACATGACATAAGCACCATAAGACCCTTCAGTCTCGGTTTAACAGTTCAATAGTACAAGTCTGACTACATTTTTCAGCACAACATTGAAACTTACACTATCTTGGAGGAGGGATATATACAAGTGCCCATGCATTTTACTCGAAAAATACTTTTTGTTTTCAACATAAAATAGATGCAGAAAACATTTATTTAGTTCTGGTTCTATGACAGGACAGAAATTACAAGCTAAACACAAACCTCAGCCGCCTTAGCTTATGAGTAACAATATCAGCCTGAGATTTAGTCTGCACAAAGATCAATGTTTTCTGATCTTCTTCTCCATCCAGTTCATTCACCAGCCTGGTAAGAAAAGAGAGAAAAAAACATTTCAATAACCCATTTTAAAAATAATTTAAGAGCGTGTTTTGCACATGATGTAACCCAAAGGAAAATGTAGACCCTGGATGTGAGTACTAGGTCTAGCAATTTCCGAATGGGGGACTTCCAAACAATTTTGTAAAATGAATTTTCTGCACCCCCCAAAAAAAATGGCAACACGATTTCAAAACGTTCTCCATTCTACTATAACTCAGTCAGCCCTGGACCAAGGACCCAGTCTGCTGGTTGTGCCTACAGGTTTTAGGCATTTTTGTAAAATTGAAATAAAAAATTTAATCAACTCTAAACGCAGTAATATTTCACACACAATTTGTTTAATTATTACATGGTCTGTTATTGTTTATAGAATTTGAAAATATATGATAGTCTGTGAGATATTGCCATTTGAAAAAGGTCAGCAACAGGTTCTAAAAAGTAGCTCAGAAGAAAGACCATGACTCGTTCGTATTTCCTACTTTGCTACCCTGCGCTAAGTTATTTTAAATTGTAGGTCAAGCAAGCGACCTTTGCCCTTGTAATAGTCCATTTCTTATAAAGAAACGGCCATGGCCAATGGTCAAGTATAAAGTATAGTCTGTTCTCATTCTATGTGTGTTTGTGTTAATAAGCAGTGGAAAATTCCATCCTGATACTGTCGGGTTCAGGGCCCAGCGCAGATACGCGCAACCCGCCTATCGCGGGGTCAGAGCTGAGTGAGTTCATAAAAGACGTTAATGTTCATGGAAAGGATTAAATACATATACATGCAAAACATACATACTATGCCAACTTTCGAGGTAATCGCAAAGTACATTACAGGACAGTAAGAAATTTCATAAAGTAAAGCCAAACGTCTCACTTACAGAGAAAGTTTCTCTTTTCTCTCGCATACTTTCACAATCTGCTGAATGTTGGGATTGGCCACAAGTTCCCCCGAGCCCACGTTGATTTGAGTGAAGTCGCCCAGGAAGTCATGAGCTAGTTGCTGAATTTCTCTGGGCCACGTGGCGCTCCACATCAACATTTGACGATCAGGCTGAAGAAAACACATGATCATAGTAAGCGCACTGGGCACACTCCTCAGGATAGGGCAGTAAGTAATTGCCATTGATTATTACTACCGTTAAGACATAGACTCAACAGGGACACTATATCAGGTTACATAGTTGAGTATTGACTTTTTTTAGCTTTAGAAGAGGGTTTTACGGCGCTCGCAACTGCATAAGGTCATATGAGCACCAAAGGGTGGGTGTCAACAGAGAAGTCTTTACAGGGAATCAGACTTACTCTGCTCACCTCTCCAGCTTCAACAGCACAAAGTCTGATTCGACTATCAAGGCACCCCGGAAATAGCGGGTCACAAGAGTGTGACAAACATACAAAAGAAGTAGAGGAAAATGACAATAGTAAGGATTAGGAAAGAAAAAGCAGCAATTCCCTCTTGCAGATCAGGCCCAGTTATGAGCGTGACATTGATGAATCAGCCCATTTACAATTCTACTGTGCATGAACGAGAAATGTCCCCCCTTTGGGAATGGCCTAAGGACACTACAGTCAAAGGCACTGCCCGGGGGGGGGTATTGACTTAGGGTCAAGAGAAGCACATGTACAAAATATGCTATTTAGTTTAGTGCATGAAAAAAAAAAAGAGATAGACAATAATAAAATGTGGAAACTCGTATGAGTATGAGGCTGCGAAATATGGAAGTTGAGTTAAAAGGAAGACAAACCCATAATGATGGTCAGATCACCAACAATTTGGAGAAGTGTGACAGCCGTAGAAACAATAATATAAAGAAACAGAAAAGGAGACATACCAACAGCACCCTTCATACATCTTTTCAAGAAAGTGTCACCTCATACAATGTAAAAATACTTCATACCTGACAGAGGCAAAAAGAGTGCACAACCTAACTTTGTCAGTGAGGCCAGAGGAAATATATTTCATTTTTATATAACACAATACTTCATTATCACAAAAGTATTCAGCCACTCGGTACAAATCAACTGCTTAGAGTAAGACTACATCATACGACACTTTTCAAAATGGCCTATTACAGTCTCACACTAAGCAATCCAAATGTTTGGCAAAGAAAAATATTTCTTGAAACTTATGGTATAAAAAATTTGAGCCTTTGGAGAAATTTAGATGTTTACACACTAAACGAGCAGTAAAGAACCAGTTCTGGAATAGGAAAAAAAATTATGTATTTTTTTCAGTATTTTACTTATATTGATTCTTATTTTGGGGATCATAATTCTTATCTCTCTACTCAACTAAACAGAAAAATATCCCTGCCTCAGTTAAACAATTTCAAACTAGTTTCAGAACTTCGTGAGATGCAACAAAACAAGAGAACAGGCATTATTTACCCTAATTTGACCCAAAACTTTGCGAATCTGAGGCTCAAAGCCCATGTCCAGCATGCGATCAGCCTCATCTAACACAGTGTAAGTGGTACGGTCCAGGTTGATCACATCTGTTTCCAGGAAGTCAAGAAGACGACCAGGTGTCGCTACAACAATCTCTGGACCTGTACAAGAAAAACATTTAGCAATTGCTAACCTGAACAGTGCCAATTGAGTGATAATTCTTTACTCCCTCTCCATCACGATTAAACTTATTTAAGAGGCTGACTGCTTCAAACTTGCCTGTAAAGGCCGACCCACACTGTACAAAATCCCATCAAACTGATAGACATACAGTCGAACCTGCCTTAACGGAAACCTGTATAAAACGGAAACTTATCTTAACGGAACCTCCCCACTCCCCCCTTGATATATTCCTGTTTAATTCCCTGTATAAAACGGAAACCTGTCCAAAGCGGAAACGGAAAAAAAAATCCGCTCTTTTCTGAGAGTTTCACCTGTCTAAGACGGAAAATTCTATGCCCGCTCAGCCCTGATTTGAAACAAAACTCGCAAGTTTGGTTCCGCCGGCCATGCCGCTAGGCGAGGAAGGGTAGTAGGGGTGCAATTAGGGGGTAGATGTTACCCCATCATGTGAGCCCTGAGCGACGCAGATGGTCAGGGTAGTGCGGGTGTGAAATCTAACAACTGCCCGTGAGAGTGCTCAAATCGCAAGCCACCACGGAAACTTTCCTGGGTAGCCAGAAGCCAGAGGTGTGAAATTAGTTTGACCGATGCCTGCCGCACTGATCGTACGCCAGCCGAGAAAAAGAGTTCCTCGAATCGTTGTTACATGATGGCAGTGAGGGGTGGCATTGGTTGACTGTGCTTGTTACACCGGTGGGTGGGGCTAAGGGTGGAACAAAAGATGTTCAAACATTTCTGTTTTTAACAGCTCAAACAGTGGTCCTACGAAAGGCAAGCACTGGTGGTAGTTGGATAAGTAAGACTGATGCATGTTATTATCAGACAGGATGGCAGTTGAGAGATGTGAAGATTTGACCATTGCTTGCCGATCGGAAAAGCCATCCTTGATCCCACCAGCTGGGCCTTTGAATTCCCCCCCCCCCCTAAATTTCCCTGTCTAAGACGGAAAATGTCCAAGACATAATTTTTTTCTGGCTCCCTTGAGATTCCGTCTTACACAGGTTCGACTGTACTTAATAAAATAATTTCCCAACATGGGAAACATGTTTCATCTTTTGTAAGCAACAACGAAAACACTCAACATTACAGCAAAGATGTAGCTTCCTCCTTGCGAAATAGATAGACTTAACAAAAGAATAACACAATTCTGTTTATTATATCAGCCAAAAAAAAAAAAAATTGGTTTTGGAAAGGAATGATACTGTAATTTATCTTTTAGCTTTTACTTACCCTCTGACAGATGTCGAGCCTGGATAAGCTTGGACTGACCACCAAACACAGAACAAGAGCGAACACCGAGCAGACGGCCGTATTCCCGAGCCACAGATTTGATCTGCTGAGCTAGCTCTCTTGTAGGAGCTAATACAAGCACCTGAAATATAACAACTCATGAATCATGCCAAGATTTATTTTCCTCACACTTTTCTTTCAATACATGGAGGATAAATAAAAAGTTCTTGTGACTAATTTCTGAGTTCATCACCCATGCTCGAGTGACCTGTTTATAATGATTTCAAATATATTTAGGTACAAATCATTATTTAAAACTTAGCTTCATATCCCATAAAAGAACATAACATCTTTAACAGTGTCCACATGATTTTAGAGATATAATGCTGTTGAAAACAATCAAGCATTGAAAGTAGCTCCCATCAGTTGTCACTCACCACTGGGCCTTCTCCTCTCATCACTTGTCTCTGGTGCTTGATGTGGACAAGAGCTGGCAAGATGAACTGAACAGAGAAAGAAAAAATGACAAACTATTCAAGTGACAATGAACAAGTAATGTATGTCACAGTGCAGGGTATTCCCTCTTCTCAACTGCAACAACATTTTGGAAATATTTCCTGAACTTTTCAGACATTTTCTTCCTCTCTCTACCACCAGAATACACACACCCCATATCTCACTCGTGTACGCAACAAACATTTAATATAATTCCCTATTTCTTTTCTTCCTTTATATTATTAGATTAGCCAATAGATCAACTGAATCAAGAACAGTGGATTTTGATCAGCTGAATGACTCATTACTAGAATGTACTATGTGAAAAGGAATAAAGGTAATGTAGGTAAGATGATAGAAGATGAGAATTTGATACTTTCAAAAAAAAAAGGCCAGACTGCATTCATATTTCACTAAAAGTCATGAATTATTGTTTCTATTGGTATTTTGCCATGTGCTGAACCAGCTGTCATACGATTCAAATGCGTTAAAAACTGTTTGCATACACTTCTTATTCTGCTCCCTCTCCAAACCTGCTCTCTTCCAATACCCATCTGCCCCCTTCTTTCTCTACTGTTTATATATGTTGCAGCACCTTTGTAGGTATTATCATGTGAGTTGCTCCAACATCCTTTAGGTATAGGGGCTCCAGTGGCAAAGGCATTAGAGACTTCAGGCTCACAATAATGTCAAGCATAAGTTGGTGACACGGCATAAAGGTGGGTGATCACAGCCGTGTGTCCTTGAATAAGACACAACAACCCTAGCTCAAAAATAAGGTGCTGCACAGTGGTGACCAGCAATGGTGTGTTTGTTAAATGTTCTGTATTGGAGTAATATTGTGTTTCATGTATGTACCTAGGTATATATGTATGTACATAATTATAATATGTATGCCATTGTATTCCAAACTTCCCCCAAATGGATCAACAGGGTGGAATTTATTTATTTTGTTTAACCATTTATCTTTATTACCATTATCCAGATTGTTTCCAAACTCATGGCCGCTGACACACCACACACTACAACTAAATAAAAACAACTTTTCGCATTACAAAAAGGGATTGGGGACGCACTTCAAAGTTTAGTAGTTTAGATAGTTTCAGCTTGTCATTAACTCTTTAAGAAGAGCATAACCACAATGCTATACATGGAAACTAGTGACAAGACATAAACTTACACCTAATGTTTTCCCAGAGCCTGTTTGTGCAATGCCAACCATGTTCTTCCCAGAGAGGGCTAGAGGCCATCCAAGACTCTGTATATGGGTCGGCTTTGCCCACGCAATTTTTTCCATGTGGCGATTGATAGGCTCTGAAATATATATGAAAATATGATCCCAGGTTAATTCCTTTAACGAAAAAAAATGCATGTAAAACATTATAAAAAGTAAACTACTGTACACTACATCAACACTTTGTTCCCAGACAAACATATTTATAACAAGTCTTATCCAAAACTATTCCGCTATTCTAAGAGCAAAATAAATATCATTTGGAAAATTGCCCTGTCCACATCATTTGTTTTCACAAGAAGATGAATGACAATCTTTCTCTCACAAGCCATTTCAGGGCACATGCACATCTTTTATTTTTCTTCCTAACATGCTACTGCAACAAAAAAGAACTGCACTGTGAAGTGTTACTCCTTCTATTACTTGAGGCACAATGTTGACATTTTTAGTTCTAATAATGCATGAACAAACTGCAATCTACTGTATTCTAGTAAAATCTCCAATCTATGAACTGATAAATAACAATATTCTATTAGCATTGAAATGTGTGTAGACTGGAAAAAGTGTTTCCATCTTTATTGTATTTAATTCCTAAAATAATTTTTCTTTCTCTCTTTCTGTCTTTCTGACCCAATTTTCGCAATCATTCCGTGTCTTTGTCTTCTCTCTAGATATATCTGTCTCTGTCTTTTAAAAAAACCCAACAATCTTCATGGTGGAGAATTAAAACCAGGTTCCCCGCATTACAGACCAGGTACTTACCCCTCTGCTACCGAGGACACACTTCCTTAACTACAAAATTCATAGATATTAGATATGTTCTGAAACGGTTTGCACGCAAAGCTCAGCTTGAGCATCCAAAAGACACATTGAGCAGCAAGGTGCAAAGAAAGTGAATTGTTCAGTTAATTATTATGGAAAAATAGAAGCAAAAATTACTACTCCCATGTAAACTGCTCAAATGCTAATTTATGTAAAACTCTTAGTCAGCAAGCAACCTTGTATCCCACTTTTTACTACATATGGACGAAGACCAAGGAAGTGTTTATTTTAGAGTAAAATTTCAGAATGAACGGTGCTCAAATAAAGGCTGTAGCCTTGATTTTAAAATACAGCTTTCCAATAAAATGTTATTAGATTATTAGGTGTACTTTGTCTCACTGAGCCAAAGAAAAAAAACCCTTAATAGTCAAATGAAAAGGAAGTCAAATAATTGTAATACGGTACATTACCTGGAAAATTAGCATGGTGAAAATCTAGAATCGGTTTAATCCTGTCTCCTTGTGATATTGTGACATTGTGCTTGGAATAAAATTCATCAAGTTCAGCCTGAAATTGAAACAAAAAAAGGAAAATTTAACCATATACCACAAAAAGGCACATATCATCGGCCTTGTGATAAAACCGACTAACCCACAAAACACCAAAAAACTTTTTATTGGCCCTATCCATAGTAAATTGTCCATTTCATATGCTCACTCAAAGACAGATCTGAATTTTGTCTTGAAATGTCTTTAAAACATTGGAAATAAAACCGTATAACCCGGCACCCGTCTTATTTTAGCCGGATAATTCCGACTATCCCACCTGCAAAGGAGGGAATGTGGATTGGCTGTTTTTGTCGCGCTAACAAGGAGGGGCCACGTGCTACGTTACCGACTAACCCTGGCTTCGACTCGTCTCTGGACTTTGTTTGACATCAGATTCACTCCTGTAATAGTCCAGAATTCGCTCACGTAACCCTGGGAGCTCTCCAAAAAGGAATATTTGTGTAATATTTCTTGTTGGTTTCAGTTGGGAGTTATATAGATCTGGTTCTATCCTCTTTTTTCTTCGTTTAAATGCTGCTGATAATGTTATTAATGACTAAAACTCACCACTGTTCCCACAAAACTGTTTACCTCGTGACAATGGCAGTATTTCAAAAGCATCTTTTTGGATTTTGTTTTATATGAAACTATTTTTTCTGTCCACATGTTCTTCTATGTCTTTGCGCTGGTAATTCACTGAATTGTGAAGGCATTTTCCCCTATTCGGACAACTAAACTGTCTTTTCTCCTGATCATTTTTCCCTTCGCAATTGAATGGACGAAGTCAATAGCATTTCCTTCTTTATTAACTCACTCAGAAAAAAAATTGTTGGACCTGTCCACCAAATCCGTCCGCCCCCAACAATCATTGTTGTTAAAAGTGCTTCTTCTTTTTTTAATTTGCATCGTTTATTGCAGTCATTACCTCCTGAAACATCTTTCGAATTTCTTTGAAAGTTCATTTCATTTGTGCGTTATCAAACCCAAACTTACATAACGCTATAACATTCTATAAGATGATGCCACTCTCGCTGCGTCACCTCTGACCTTCCCCGCAATGGAAAGTGATCAACATGACCAGGCTAATGTCACATCAGCTGATAATACAACGGTTTTGTCTCCATTGATCTGCAAAAAGGACACGGCATGAAAACGATTGGATGGGTTACAAAAGGAAGAGGTTGAAAGAACTGGGAATGCCTCAACATATGTCAAGGAACAGAGCAAACAGGGTGTGAACTCAACGTCCTTTGCAGTTGTCAACTGTTGGTACAAAATGCAATGACATCGCCAGTCACTCTTTTGGAAGGAAAAGAGAGCCTTGGTATATGCCATGATAAACACGATAGACAAAAAGGGTGAAACGGTCAAAGAATTCCTGTTTGTAAAACAATCTTCATAAATGCTACAGGCCTGACCCACTGGTTCATTTAAAGTGTCTTCTATGGAAAAACAACAAGAAACGCCCCCTCCCCCCAGAAAACACAACATGCCCACCAGGAGAGAGCCAAGGATGACAAGTTGTTCCATAGAGAGGAATTTTTTGACAAACATTCGAAGATACCCTCCTGTCTGCAGATGACAATCCAGAAACTTCAGATCTACATCGAGTATACATGGAGAAATGAGCAGAGAGGCAGAACAAAAACCCATTGAGCTATCAAGTGTTTTGCCGAAAGTTAAAGAAAAACAATTTGGGTTTAATTTCAACCAAGAAAGACCAGTGCGACATTTGTACCAGCTTTGAATCTGGAAACCTCACAAAAACAGAATACACAGCTCATCAAATATGAACATGATTAAAGCTGCATCTCGAGCAGAGAAGGAGAAGGAAAGGGAGGCTGCACTGAACCCAGAGACAAAGTGTGTGTCCTTTGTATGGAGATCCAGTGCATCCTCCTGACACCATCACTAAAGACATCAGCCTTATATTATACAACAAAGCTGGCTGTACACAGTTTTACGATTTAGGACCTTGACACCAGAGACGCCAGATGATATGTCTGGGATGTATATGAAGGTGGTCTGAGCTCCAACAGTTTTCATTAAGTCTGACTCACTACCTCAGATCGCAAGCGACTGACTTCAACCACTTCATCATCTACAGTGATGGGTGCAACTACCAAAACAGAAATGCCACCCTGGTGAGTGCATGGCCTTGCTGGCCAAAGAACCTGACATTACAGTTGAGCAGAAATCCTCACTAAGGGCCATACCCAAATGGAGGTGGATTCAGTCCATGTCACTATTAAGCGATCGCTCCAAAAGGCGCATCCCCGGGCCCTATGAAGTAATGTACCTGGACCAGTTTTCTCAAAGATTTCCCAAAGGTCGGAGAGTACTAAACGATCCGCCCAAGGAGAAAACCAGGCGATCCTATTGTCACTGACCTGCAGGCATCAAAGAACACTCCAGTCTTTAAAATAATTCAGCCCAAGCTGAACTTTGATGATGAATGGCAGGCACTGCAAGGACCAAGAAAGCTGAAGACCCAGTGTACGACTGTTACAGCTGGACCTCTCTTCAAAGACAGAGTGAAGATAACTGCCAGTTAGTATAAGCATCTACAGGAGTTGAAAGCTGTCATACCACAATGCTACCACAATTACTATGACACATTGCCTCAGTAAAAAGCTTTGAAAGCGATCAAGTCAAATTCTATTATTGTAGAGTCTTTTAAAAACAACGGTGACTTTTTGTCGTATTGTCTTGTTATAGCCACAGGACACAGAGTGAGACAGACATGCTCTTCTATTGCTGAGAAAACTCAATAAAGTAGTTGTTGTCAAGCCACGCACCTTGATGAAGAAAGTTGGCGTATTTTTTAATACTTACGAAATCTTTTTGTATAATAATAATATATCATTATGTAACCAACTTCACTCAAACCATTGCTGAGGTAGCGGAGCTTTTGTGTGGCTTTAGACTGCTTTCATTTCTTTCTTAGTAGGCCAATTACATTTTGAATCACCACCAAGTGTCAATAGTACTGTGTCAGACATTGTCATAAATTCTAAAGGCCTGCTGCTGCTGCTACTGTTGTTGTTGTTGCTGTAACTGTTCTTCCTTACCCTTCGAACACCCAGCTTCTCATTTTTCTCCCACAACAGACTTTATCACTTCCCGGGAACCATCCATCGCACCTGCATTGCGAACCATTTTTCACTTAGCCAATTGAATGCGACTAATCAGCGGCCTTCTTTCATACCAACACATGCGTTGTTGGCACGCGCACATGTGTTGTTGGCACGCGCACATGTCTATTCTAGCGTGTGTCGGGGTCGGGTAGGCGGCCTGCACACGTGTGACTGTGTAGTGTGTGTGCGTGTCCGTGGGGGCCACTATCGGTCCGGGCATGGAACGTTGCAGATACAAACGCGTCACAGTCTTTTTCCCCCGGCAACTGATCAATTTTACAATAATAAGCTAGTCTTGTCATAGATCTACGTAATGAATTGTGAGCTGGTCTATGGAATCAAGTTGCTTTATGCTAGGCTCTATACAGCAACACAACTTTTTGGCAAATAATCGAGATGACACAGGCATGCATTTTAACAAATTAGTCTTTTTTTTTGCACAGCTCATGATATGCAGGCATTTCAGGCACCACTGGTGACTTCTCTTTATACATTGCTTGCTCAGTGCCAGTAACTATCTACACAAAACGTCATATTTGCTATAACAAACACTCGGATTCAACGAGATGTTAGGTAAGGCTCGGCGACCTCGTTGAATCCGAGTTCCACTGCAAACCAACTGGTGTCTTGTGCGATCATAATATGACCTTATGTGCTTGCGAGTGCCATAACACTTTTACCAGAACAAAGTAAGTGCAACAATGAACACACATGAAAACTGCATAAATACAAAAATGAAAAAATTAGAAGCTAGAAGCCTTCACAGAAAAAAAAAGAAACAAATCATAGGAACCTACACTGAACAGGTAAACATCTCATTATCAGGATGACAAACAGCCTTGTCAACACAGCAATTATTATGCATTAACTAAATAAAAAAAGGATCGAAGTATACTATTCAGTCAAATACTGTGCTTGGCATGACACACCGGGAAAGAGAATGAAGCACACACCTTTCTTCTACACTCAATACCTCAACCTTTCAACCCCTTTGAAAAATGGACAATTGCACTCAGGCTAACAATAATGACAGGTGAATGGATCATAATAGCTTGCCCACAACGTCAGGGGCCCATAAATAATTTATGGCAACGTGTCAGGCAGTGAGAGATTTGTGTAGCCATCTTGGAAAGTTTTTTTTTAGGTTGTTGGTTGATAAAATATAGTCGCCGCACTGGACAGGTTATCATTTTTTTTTTAGGGGCTATCATTATATACAAAAAAATCCAGGGGGACATGGAGCATGGCCATTTATTTATATAGGTGGTTGTCTTATACAGACAGTCATCTCAGCAGATCCAACTCTACTTCTATCTGAAAAGTATCTATTTCAATTTAAAATCATTAAACGCTTCCGTAGCACTAAAAACCTTCAACAGTAAAAAGCAGCTTCTTACCTCAGAAAGCTGAGCAACACTGTCATGCTCAACATAAAAATTTTTCTCAACTGGATCCAGCTGGCTAGAGCTCCATTCTTTATGCCTCAGTTTAAAGCCTGGTTCCTCTCTGGCACTCCGAGTGCGTGGTCGAAAAGCATCTGTATAGTAGTCATCTTCTGACAGTCCATCATCATAATACTGTCTCCTGCTGGACTGGAAGCGTTGAAAGCCATGTTGACGTCTCGGAAAAGAACTGCGATCTGTGAAACCTTCAAAAGTATCTGAAGAGTGGAACTTGCTGAGTCGTCTTGGACGTTTCTCGTTGTGGTACTCAGAATCTGAGTACTCAGGGTATTGAAAGCTGTGAAAAACAAATGCATAGTGAGATATTTTGTAAAAGTAAATTATGCCTAAGATCCTGGTGCTGGGGAAAAAGGAAAAGGCAGAATCTTAGACGAATGGTATCTTAGTTGATTCATCACAGGGAGAATCCGTTTTGGCTCATGGTCAGGGCCACGACTGCATACATGATCTCCCCTCACATCTAAATGGACTCATGTGACTCCAGGGGTGAACAAAATGCGTAAATCCTGTTGCTCCTTCAAAAATTCACAGCTTTCCATCTCAGCCCAAGTGCCCCGATCAAATTGTAATGCATCAATGAGTTATGACCGCACCGATTAAAATCAAGTGTACATGTTGTATCTAGCAAATTCGGGTGTTGAGATGAAAGACAAGTGCGATGATCCGGGAAACCACAAGCACCAGTGAGTTCAGTTCAACGTGATCCTGTCTGATGTGGCCATGCAAGGTAGGCCCACCCCACCCAGCATGTGATATAAGTTCAGGCGAAAGGCTCAAATGCAATGCAATGTTTCAGGAAAACAAACATGTCAATGAGTTCAAACCTGAGTGTGACCCCAAATATGGGACAAACTTTGTACCCACCCACAGAGATTTACAAAATTTTAAGAGATGTGATCACTTTCACAAATGTGGATGATCTGTGACATAAAGGGTAATGCAAATATTGCAAATTTTCTCCAACTGATTGGTCCACTGCGGTCACCAACCTTTTTGTTCTGTTAATTGTGATATCTGTCATGTACGATCTTAGCCGAATGTAGTCCTTCCATAACAGGATCTTAAGGGTCACCTTTGAGTAGTAAATATTCTATTTTCTTTAATAAAACAGAAGGATCTTAAGCAAAATGGAATCATAAGCAGTGAAATCTTAGGCAGAGACTCAATAATTTTAATCACACCTTAAGTCTTTGAAAATATTTTTGAGAAGTAGAAAACCCCGATGTTTCTGGTTTAGTTGATTGTCTACTGCTGGATGGGTCTGACGACTGGTTTATTTGAAGATCTACCAGGCTTCTCGTCTGGTCACTTGCTGTTGCACTTACTTTTTTTACTTATCAATGATAATCCTCACCACCACAAAATTCACTGATCTAAACAAAAATGAAAAATGAAGAAATCCACCTACCCACCCACCGCAATTGTGTAACGCCACTGCCTTTTGGTCTAAAAATGCCCTCAATGCAGTTGTTACCATGGCCAATCAACTATGACCTATGGTACGCCTAGATTACACTAAACCATGGTCAATTGGGTAGGACTTATTGTAGACCATTGTAGTGCGGTAGACTTTCAACTGAAAGAATACCAGACTTTTCTTCCTCAAGGCAAGAGTGTTCATTAACTCTTATTATAACTATAAATGAATCAGAGAGACACTTAAGTAAGCTTGGAACCCTATGGAAGCATTTGTCAGTTTGAACTGCTGAAACATATATTTAACACATTTCTTCGGTTGAAAACAATATTGGCGGGAGTTGCAAAATTCATGATATAGCTTTTAGAGTATGAACTAGCCCCATGCCACACATCTCAGAAGAGTAAAAGTATCATTAAAGTTTTTAAAAGTACACTTTATAAAAATGTCTAGTCAAAGCTTGTCTTTGTGTTAAGTCTTAGACTTGCGTTTAGTCAAAGCCAAACCTTTGCCTGTCTGCTAGCTCTTCACTTCATAAAATACATTGCAGACAAAATGATTAACTTGGTCTTGGTACTAAACAAAAGGCTTTTTAAACCACTGGAAACCTGATGCATTCAAATTATGTCAACCTCAGTTAACTTTTCTGTACTAAACTCCACCAAACTAGTAGTGTGGATAAAGACGAGGGAACAGGGAGATTGCATTTCAGGTTGACAACAATTTGGCCTTCAGCGTCTAATCCTTCTCAATATCCTGTTAAAATAGCAAGACTGTACTGGATAAGATCAAGTCAGATCCAACTTTACTGAAATCTAAGCCTACCCAATGATGTTGTTGTTGTTGTTATCAATCCAGCAACAGCTGGGCTCTCGCCCTTTTGTCCAATGCCATGTAGTGATAAGTGCAGGTCTGCTGCAGTTGCTGTAATGTTCCATAGAGTGTGTTGACTATGTTAGGTCTTGGAGGGAGAAGGGTAGCTCTGATGTCATTTAGGGCTGTGCAGTGGAACAGGTGATGCTCCACAGTCTCATATGCATATTCACACAAGGGACACATTGGGGGAAGTTCCGGGTTTATTCTGTTCAGGTGGAAGTTGAGCTGTATATGTTCTGTTCGTAGGCGGAAGATCGTGGTCTGTTTCTTTCTCTGAAGGCGGTTGATATTGTCATTCCTTTTTGTTGTGGTCATATGTTTGAAAACTGCTCTGCCTGTCTTTCCCAGAGCCCATCTGTTCATCCAATCTTGTTTGTTGTTGCTTTTGATGATTTGTTTTGCAGTGTTGTATGAAGTTGGAGTGTTGGGTTGTTCCTGTCTAGATCCCCGTTGGGCAAGTGTGTCTGCTCTGTCCTTTCCAGGTATGTCTGAGTGTCCGGGGACCCACTGCATTACTAGGTTGATGCCACAGAATGTTATCAGATTATGGGATCCAAACAGTATATGGGTCAAATCTTGGTTTAGATGATGGTCATTTTGAATGCTGAGCCGTCTGTATAGACGTGTATCCAGTCATCTGAATAGCTGTCGATTGTTTGATGTGATGCAAGCATCAGCGTCACTGGGTCTGAAGATTTTGTGCTCTTGTCTTTGAGAGATGTTGTAATGATTGGCTTTTTTGAAGAAAGGTGGGGAGGGATGTTTTGTTAGTTCTGTGATGTGATGCATGATTGACTTTTGTTGAATTCGTTTCTTTGGTTTCCATGTTTCTACTAATTTCCTGTTTGGGTGGTTGGGGCACATTCTTTTAGTTCTTTCATGTAGCTTCAAAACTGCTTTATCTCTGCGGATTCCCAGGGGTTCAACATTTGCAAGGATTTCGCATGCGGCGGTAGGTATGGATCTCATGCCGCCATTTATAAAACGAAGGGCATTGTTTTGGACCTTGTCAAGGGTGTTGCAAGTAGTTGTACTGCACATAGTGAGTAGGCTATTGCTGTATTCCAGGGAAGATCGGACATAACCCAGGTATAGAGCTCTCAGAGTTTGTTTGTCTGATCCCCATGAACTGCTTGCGAGTTTCTTTAAAAGTTGGAGTCTTTTTTTTGCCTTGTTCCTTATGTTCTCCACTTGGCTTTTCATGGTTAGCTTATGGTCAAGTTTGACTCCTAGGTAAGTTGGATGTTCTTCTTTGGGGAGACTTTCATTTCCTATCTTTAGTTTGAGATTTTCTTTGGCTGCTTTATGTCTCTTTGTGAAGATGGTGTTTACTGTTTTCGTGCAGTTTATTTTAAGTTTCCATTTCTGACGGTAATTATGGAGCCTCTTGAGGTCTTCATTTAATTTCCCTGCTCCTACTATCGTGCTGTGATGTGTCTGCCAGAGAGCAAGATCATCGGCATAAAGAGTCTTTTCTGATTTCAGCACGTTCGTTACATCATTAAAGAAGATCAGAAACAAAGTGCAACTCAGACAGGAACCTTGAGGTAGGCCTTCCTCGAGTACTTCTCTTGACGAGTGGGCATTGTTTACCTTGGTTTCAATGTTTCGATCCGACAGGAAGAACTTGATCCATTTGTAAAGTTTGCCATGTATCCCGAGGTCCATCAATTTCATGAGTAGGCCTTTTCTCCACACTCTGTCGTACGCCTGTTGAAGATCTACAAAGATGGCGACGGTGTGTTTACTCTCCTGAAATCCATCCTGGATGTTTTGACTCAGTTTAAAAAGTTGATCTTCTGTGTTGCTGCCTTTTCTGAAGCCTGCTTGGTGTGGGTTTAAGCTGTTAGTATTTTCCAGGTACCAGTAGAGGCGGTTGTTTATCATTCTTTCCGCAAGCTTACCGATACATGATGTTAATGAGATGGGTCGGTAGCTTTTCGCTTCTCCAGGTGGTTTGTCATTTTTCAGGAGTGGTGTAATCTGGGCGATCCTCCATGCCTTTGGTATTCCACTCGTTCTCCACGTGGTGTTTATCAGGGAAAGAAGAACTTCTTTTCCTTTAGCACCAAGGTTGCTCAGCATTTCATTGTGTATTTTATCAGGTCCCGGGGCTTTCTTTTCCTTTAGCTTTTTGAAGGCCTGACTGAGTTCCATCATGCTATAATCCTCTTCAAAAAGCGAGCCTACCCAATAACACACTAGATCAATACCTAGTCTTGTTTGTGTATGATTTTAAAAAATTTTTGTTAGTGATATAGTAACAAGGCAAACCCTATTTTTTTATAATTGGGAGGAATTTCGTAACGACCCACCACTATGAAACAGAGTAAAATGGAGGGTTAGTGTAATGTTAGTATATACACGACTAGAGACGGACAAACATGACATTAAGTGATAAAAAGAGCCCAGGTGCAGTTTCTGACTTTCATTGTTGATGTCTGGGGCAGCAGGCGGCAAAGATGAGGGAACTGATATCGGGTGGCAACAGGGAAAGCAGGCATGGAAGGAGGGTCGATGTAGGGCCTCAGATGTTTGCGGTTCCAGCGGTAGGCCCTACCCCCGGACTGGATGATGTAAGACCTCAGTGCACACTGTTCTTTGAGAATCACAGGGCTTCTGCAGGACGAGCTGACCAGGGTTCATCTCTGGGTGGTTCTGGACACCGTGACGTCCGTCGAAAGCTTGTTTGTACTCAAGCTTTGACTCAGCATCTCTGGCTGCAATCTTGGACCTGTTGTAGACCTGCTGGTTCGCGTTTGAAGGTAGAGTTGGAAGGGTCATCCTCAAAGGTCGTCAAAGAGCAAGTTCCGCTGGGCTCGCCCCTGTCGGTGGCATGGGTGTAGACCTGTAGATCAGGAGGGCAAGAAATGGATCGTCCAGACTCAGGGCTTTCTTTGCCTCCTCGACTGCTCTCTCCAACTCGCCGTTGCTCTGGTGAAAACGGGGAATGCTGGTCGTGTGTCTGAACCCCCAGCCCTCGGCGAATTTGTGGAAACGGTCTGACACAAACTGGACGTTGTCGGTCACCAGTAGTTCCGGAATGCCAAACCGAGTGAAGAGGTTTTACAGTTTGTACACAACAGTTTCTGAGGTGGTGTTTGGCATGTAGGCCACCTCCAAGTAGCGTGAGAAATAGTCCACAAATACCAGGTAGTCATGTCCCTTGCAGTTGCAGTGGTCAGCACCAACCATTTGGAACAGCCACTCTGGTAGACCTGTCGGGGTTAAAGGTTCGCTTGGTTGAGCTGGATGTTTCTGCTGGCAATGTTCGCATCTTGAGATGACGCCCCGTATCTCAGAACTGAGACCACGCCACCAAATGGAAGATTTGGCCCCTTCTCAACACTTCGACACTACGGAGTGTCCATCGTGGATCCTGCTGAGCATCTCTCCTCGCATTGCCTTGGGGATTACGATGCGGTTGCCTCTGACTTGTAGTCCATGGACTTCGCTCAGTTCACTGGAAACTGCGCAGAGGTTGCGAGCTTCCGCCTTGTCATTTTGGATGAATTTCGGCTTCTGGTGTACAGTATCGCAGCACTGAGTGCTGGATCCTGTTGAGACTTGTTTCTGATTTTGTCAAGTTTACTGTCTGTGGCTTCCCATAATATCTGGATTGTAGCACACAGTAGGCCACTGGCTGAAGATCACCCCCGTCCTCCTGGAGGAGAACTCCCCACAGTCCGTAGCTGCTTGCATCGGCGCTTACAATGACAGGCTTCCTCATGTCGAAGAAGGCGAGTGTTGGAGCTGACGACAGCAACTTCTTGACTTCAGTGAAGGCAGATGACTGTGCCGGAGTTTAGGCCCACTCAGCATCGTGGTTCAGAAGATCGTTGAGCGACTTTATCACAGTAGACAGATTTGGCACAAACCCGCCCAAATAGTTCACCATGCTGAGCACTTGTCGCAAGTCCGTAATGTTCTCTGGCTCAGACATCTCAGTTTTCTTCTTCCTCGTTCTTGATGACAGCAGCTAGTAAGACAGTCAGTCCGATGTTGCGCACAAACTGTGCAGTTCGCTTCAACTCTGAGAGACTGCCATAGAGCTTTCTCTCAAGGGGAGCCACATTCTGCCACGTCTGCATACGAAGGGTGACGTAGTGCGGGCAGTGCTGAAGGATATGGTTGGCATCCTCTTGGTTGTGTCCACATTCACAGATCGCTGACTCTCCCACTTTTAATTTGGTGTGCATAATATGGTGTTTGAGTCTGTTGTGGCCACAAAGGAGTCTAAAGATTGTGACCTGGTCAGCTCTATTTAGTATGTAGTAGGGGTTATGTCTGTTGTGTTTAGGGTGGGACCTTTTCCATCCGTTTCTTAGGGCAGATTTTAATATTAGTGTTTTTTACTCTGAGAGATCCATGCCATCTTCAATCTGGGTCATTTTGGCTCCTTCTTTGGTTAAGTCGTCTGCTTTTTCATTTTCATGAATGCCACAGTGAACTGGTACCCACTGCAGAGTTGTGTTGTTTTGGGAGTTTAGATCACATAGGAGTGAAAGGAGTTGTCGTACTTGAGCTGTTTGTGGCTTTTGGAGAGCTTGTAGGACAGATTTGGCATCAGTGAGGATGACGGTGTTGGCTTTAGATTTTTGGTGATTCAAGAGAATGGTGGCTGCGGTTTCGAGTGCTGATGTTTCTGCTTTGTAATTGGAAGATAGAGATCCTGTGGGGACGAAATGGCTTTCTGTAGCATCTCAGTGATGGCGCTGACCTTGGATGGACCTGACCTTGCACCCTTCCTGTGATGATGCGGCCCAGAAAATCTATTTCATCTTTGTCAAACTCCCACTTGGATTTGTTCAACTTGACCACTCGCTCCTCTAGCTGCTGGAAGACTGTCTTCTTCAGCTCATCATGTTTCTCCAGACCATCCGAGTGCAGGCTGATGTCATCCATAAAGCACTCAGCATTGTCTATGCCCGCTAGAAAGTCTTGCATTGAGCGCAGAAATATCTCAGGCACAGAGGTGATTCCAAAGCAGAGACATCTATAAAAGTACCGGCCGAACGGGGTAATGAAAGTAGTCAGCTTCGTGGAGTAGCTATCCAGTGCCAACTGCCAAAAAGAAGAGGTTGCATCAAGCTTGCTGAATTTGTTTGATCCGCTGAGTTTGTACAAGATACTGTCTATGGTGGGCAGCATGAGTCATTCACGCATCACTGACAGGTTGAGCTTATTCAGATCTGTGCAGATTCTGATGCTACCAGACCTTTTCCTGACCGGGACCATGGGCGCACACCAGTCAGTTGGAGCGCTGGTCTTCTCAATAACACCTGTGGCCTCCATGTGGTCCAGTTCAGTTTAGTCTTCGTCCATGAGTGGAATGAGAATCCGACATGCGACGTTCACGGAGTAAGGCTGTGCATCTTCTTTGAAGACCAATTTTCACTGGCTCGCAGCATATAGATCGAGGTTCAGGTTCCACATCGCCGAACACGGGGTTGGCAGAGTCTATTCTGTCTCGAGAAATCAGTTCCAGACAAACTGCGGCATTACGACTGAGAAGGCTGTCAGTGTCACCCTCAAGGACGAAAACACGAAATGCAAAGTTGCGATTGTTATGCTGCATAGTCGCCATAAATTCTCCTACGCTCCTTATGGCTACACCAAGATTGCGATTTGTTTTCAGTATTGAACGACGACTGAGACGGTTGTAGTCAGCCTTCAACATTATAGAAATGTCGGCCCCAGTGTCTATGTGTTGAGGGATGTAGCTCTCCTTCCAAGGATCAGGGTAACGGGCTATGGTGGCTCGCTAACTTTGCCGAAATTCACAGCAGGAATGACATTACAGTCCTAGGCTTTGTCAACAGCTCCTAAGAAGAATGAAGGAGTTTCCAATTCAGTGATTTCGTTGACATTGCTGCCACCGCTGCGATAGACTAGCTGCGAAATGGCGTGCTGTATCGATGGCTGATTTCAATGTAACAAGTTACCTCGAGTTGTAAGCGCAGTGACAGTTCATTGTCCAGTACCCCTAGGGCGAGTCTATCCCTAATGGTTTCGGTCCTTAAAGTCTGCATGTTCTGAAAACTCGTACAGGGCTCTTTATCTAACATCTTCTAAATTGCTTCCCCACTGTTTAGTGCCCGTGCATGAAACTTTGCTTTTTCATGGATCATCAGATTCCGCTTGGGGACAGAGTGAGCGTCGAAGTTCTCTAAGACAGTGTCAAAGTTGTCCCTAGGATCGTTGCCTTCGACGGGAGCAAAGAACGTGAACGTATTAAAGATCTCTTCAGCTTGGCGTCCCATAGTGTAAATTAATGCACTTACTTGGATTACTCCAGTCTCTTTGCTCAGTTTGGTGGCTGTGCGGTATACATCACATCGTATCATACGCAATCACCACTCTGGCCACTAGAGTAGAGAGGTTCGGAAAAGTCAAACGGTTGAGGAGGCTTGAAATTAGACATTCTGACACTTGTGACGCGTCAACCACTGATTTCTGACACCATGTAATGTTAGTATACACAACTGGAGACGGGCAAGACAGACAAGCACGACACCAAGTGACAAAAAGTCAAAAAGGCCCAGGTGCAGTTTCTGAATTTTATTGTTGATGTTGGAAGTGGGTAAAAAAGCACACGGCACACGGGGGCGCTTCCAGCCTGTGATTTAACCGAAAGTCAGGTGCAAAACTGCGGCTACCGTGACAGTTAGAGGTAGGGTTTGGATTTGGGGTAGATCTAGGCGTAGGGCGGTTAGGGTTTGGGACAGGGTTTGGGGTAGGAGTAGGGATAGGGTTAGGGTTAGGGGTTGGGTTTGGGTAACGTCTCTTCTATATTGTGTT